ATAAAGTAGGGAGACTAAAATGCCAAATGAAACATGGGCTGTTTGGTAAAACCTTACCATGAACATATGTACCCAGTCCAGGCCCTGTGAAGCCACCGACTATATTAAAAAGAAGTTGGTTCTGCTTAGTTTTTTCTGTGTAAAAATGTCGTGTGTGTTTCCTTTTTTTGAAGTGCTATGTCAAGGGAATAATTTTGACTGAACAATGATGAACTGTAATTCATAAAAAAGTTTTCAAACCATTTCATAATGGAAAAATATTTGATAATAGATCTAAATATGAAAATAATGAAGTATGCAAGTAAATACAGGACCAGATGAATTATAAAAACATGTCTCAGGTATCAGTTCCAATCCTTCAAAGACTCCATTCTCTTGGAGTAGGAGATGTATCCTTCTAGAACCCTGTCCTGTGCTAGAAGGCTTGGCATAAAAGCCTTACTAGTTAGCAGGAAAAGAGCAAACTCTCTTTATATCTTCCCACACAGTGCTGGTCTTACTATAGTTTCTTGTTTGATTTATGAATTTCTCCTGGAATGAATTTTCCACAAATATATGATGGAGAACTGTGTAGCTTTGACATTCAGTCTGCCTATGAATGTTGGTAGTGTTAGCAGCTGGTATCCAGGCTGAGGTCCAGGCATGTTCCAGTGATTCACCAATCAACACTATATGTTGCCTTTTCTATGTTTGAGAAAGGGGCAGACCGCAAAACACTAATCAGATTCTAAAGGTGCCTTCTTGTTTACTTAATATTTTCATGTTGTTCAGAAGAGGCCAATAATAGCAATAATCTTTTAAAGATGATAAAACTTTGATTTGTTTTGTTTTTTTTTTTTTTTTTTTTTTTTTTTTTTTTTTTTTTTTTTTTTTTTTTTTTGGTTATTGATGACTGACCATATTTTCATAGCAATAGGGTTTTGTTTACTTGGTGTTTTCTTTCTTTTCATTCTTTGACATCAGGGCACCGCTTAGTTACTTGTCCTTTGAGGTATAGGGAACACAAGGCTGTGGCTTTTACCATGTTGATGATTTGTATGTACTTTCTAAATGTTATGAGTATTGTGCATTCTTTGTTTTTCTGTTTTAGTGAGGAAATACCACTGAGTGCTGTTAGATGTTTTTCCTCTTTTGATGTGTTTGTGGAAAACTGGTGTAACCAAAAAAGCACATTACAGAAGTTCAGACTGGCCCTTTAGAGAGTTATGTTTTCTCTGAAATGGTTGGTGTAAGCCTTTGGTGGAAATTTTCCCATTTGGACTCCATCCTATGTAAAACACTGAAATATATGAGGATTGGAACATTTGAGTTTGGTTCCTTTATAGTTGTGTATTAGTAGTGATTGGAAACAAGTCCGTTAACATATCACTAAAACAAAGATTGAGTTTTCTTAGCTATGTGATAAAAGTAATTACCTGCCAGGTAGTTTTAAAAGGAACCCCATATTTTATTTTATTTTATTTTATTTTATTTTATTTTATTTTATTTTTTATTTTATTTTATTTTATTTCATTTTATATTTTGTTTTAATTTTCATTTTATAAAGGGAGAGAGAGAGAGTAAACAGGGGAAGGGCAGAGAGAGAGAATCCCAAGCAGGCTCCATGCTCAGCACAGAGCCTGAAATGGGGCTCCAACCCACAACCCTGGGACCTGAGCTGAAATCAAGAGTTTGATGCTCAACTGACTGAATAACCCAGGTGCCCCCAAGGGACCCCATATTTTAAATATTTGAAACTCAACATTTTGTTTTAAATCTTCATATTCTAATATGTAAAATCATCTGAACTTCCCATATGATGTAGGTTTGGTTACATATCAGCTTAGATATATTAGCTTCAGATTTTTCCATGATATATCAAATACATATCAGCACACACAAAGAATATGATTTTAAAAGCCACAAAAAATCGATTTCTGTGACTTGAGCAGGAAGAAAGGAAGATGCATTTGCTACATTCATCTTAGAGACCTTAAGTCTTCCTCTCGTGAGCACCAATTCTCTTGGCACTTTGGCCAAGGAACAGTGAGGGGTACAGTGCCCAGAGTAGGGAATCTGAGAGGAGAAGATCCAAGTATTTCCCAAGCCATCTTATTTCACTTTCTGCCTATCTCCTAGCTCACACACAGTCACATACAAACACACACACCGCAAGCATTTCCCTGCTCTATTCCTTTTTGGCCCTGTAGTAATGGGTCAGAAAATAAATACTCTTTTTGCCAGAATTTAGACCTAAAAACTGCCAAGGTCTTCAATATAGGATAGTCAATAGTATAAATTGGATTGGAGAGTCTACTGGAGAAAACTGGTACATTCAAAGCACACTACTTTTATCCAGAATATCTGAAATATCATACTTTACCTCTTCCATAAAAAAGGAAAGAAAAAAAATTTGAGACTCAAAATGATCATTTAAGCAAAAAAAAAAAAAAAAAACATTTTTGGAAGCACTCATAAAGTATTTTCATATTTAAATGCTAAAATGTTTTTTTAAAGAGGGGCATGGGATTTGCTGTCCCTTTGTTAGCAGGAGACTCTGACCTTAAACAACTTCAAGTCCATCAAGATCTTTCCCAAGTGAGAAAAGATTGGGTTTCTCTGGTGGGACTCGGTTTTTCATTGGCTTCTATAGTCATTGGGAGAAATTAAATTTTTCACCTGCCTATGTTTTTGTCAAATTTTGACATATCTATTTATTCCATACTCTTGCATTTGAGAGAAGGCATGATGAGCTCCAGGTGAATTCACAAAAAACAATTCTTGGAAATCTTTCTACCAAATGATCAATTTTTCCAGTGCCCAAATTGCCAAAAACCAATTCATTCCAAACCAATCCATCAAATGACCAATTTACAAAATTTACCCAAATGTATTGCTTCATCAAAAAGCATGTCTTAAGAAATGTGCTTTTTGAATATATTCCAAGGGTTGATAAACAGTTTTCTGAAAAGGACCAGATATTAAATATTTTAGGCTTTACAGGCTGTATAAAGTCTCCATAGCATATTATTTTCTTTCTTTATAACTTTTTAAAAAAGCAAAAATCATTCCTACCTCACACAAAAGCATGCTGCTTCCAGTTTTGGCTCAAAGGTTGTAGTTTGGACCCCTTATATATTAAAATAATTGATATATTTTCATATGAATACATTATTATTGGTTATATGCAGTGGTTACATTCTTAAATATAGTGAGTGGATATATTCTTGTTATCAACATTTTAAGGAGTGTGCAATTTGTTAGAAGTTAAAAGTCACAAAAAGTTTACCATTCTTATGAATAGCAACAATATTTATTCTGGGATTTCATATGAAAAACTTCTAGGTTATTTTAGTGTAGTATTAATTCTATTAAGAATTCATTTTCTATTTTTTTCAATGCTCTAGCATGTTTTCAGATTTTATCACCACAGACTCATTTGCCAAGTTTGCCAATTTTCCCAAAATGTGTGTCTTTTAAGTGTCAAAGTTCAGTGATTCTAGAGTAAATTGAAAGTTTTTTTAACAGTTTTTGAAGATACCTGGAATATTTTGCTTGGTCAGTTTTTTAATTAGCATTTTAATGAAGGTTCCATGTGTCTGTACCCCAGCTCGATACTGCTGTAGCCGGATGGAGCAGGCAATAAGGGGAAATTTTGTATTAGGAAAAGAAATGAAGGAGAGCCAACAGTCCAGCACAGCCTCATGTTGGGTTGAGCAGGAACTTGTGTCCATGAGAGAAAGACATTGGGAACCAAGTTGGTATCTGAAGGTCCCAGAATTCTGAAATCCTTACCTTCTACTACAGGCTTGAGCTCTGGCAATCCATTGCACTATAAATTTTATGAATAGTTTGAAAAAACAGGTTTTTATTACATCAGTATATTTGACCAATTTGCAAATAGATCCCCTTGATTTATTGGTCATTTAGCCAAAGGGTCTGTTGGCAAGTTGTCTTTTGGCAAATTTGATGTTAAATTGATTTGGTGAATCAGTCTGCTCCTGTCCTGGAAAGCAGAGGCTTTCCAAAAGAAAAACCAAGAAGGAGCCAGAAGTGAGGCAAGTTCACACCCTTTTTGGAAAGAATGGAGAGCATAGTAGTGTGCACAGACTATTGGGCAGAGTTGGTAAAAACACATACTCATTTGTGGTTCATTCTGTGGAAGATGTTCATAGGTTAGCTTGTGGTGTGACTATAAAGGAATGGAACTGATTTTAACATGTGGTCAATTAATTTACAGGGCATACATGCTATAATAATAAAAACAAAGTCATACCAAACATGTGGTATCATTTGGCATGGCAAAGTCAAGACATTTCCAGCTGGAGCTGAGCAAAACTAAAGATTATTTAATTTCTACTACTCCCTTGTAGAGGAGGAAAAGTAAGTTTTCCTCCCTTCCCAGGTTCTTGGCTGAGATGTCCTATAATAAAAGACAAATTGACAGGAGAGAAACAGAAGTTTAACAGCATATATACCTCCTGTATACACACATAGGGAGAGACCCAGGAAAACCGAGAAATTTCCTGAAATTGCCCAAGCCACTACCTTAAAAGTCATACCCAGGTAAAGATAAAAGATGTTGGTATGGGGAAAAAGCCATTTATGGAGGATATCAGGAAAAGTACAGTAAAAAAAAAAAAGGTATAGTGGTTGTGCAGGTTTAAGTCCTTGCCCTCTCCATTGATAAGAGTTTCTAGAAAGGGAGATACACTTATAAATGGAGATTTACCATTTATAAATGGAGACTTACCACTTATAAATGGAGATTTACCATTTATATGTAAGTTTCTCTTACAAAAGCGTAACTTCTACCCAGTTTTCAGAGGTTGACCTGTGTCTCTAAAGAATAACCAGTTCACTGCTGACAGAGTTCAAGAGGTGGAAGACAGATTTAGGAAAACTAACCACACCTCCCCTGAAGCCCAGTTGAAGCAGACAGGCAGAGTATTAAAGGCACCATTGCCTTTCAGATCAGTCTTTTTCCAGTGGCAACTCTGTCTATGCTTCCTGCCCTGCAGAGACCAACTGAGCCACAGGTTCCTGTGAGTACAGCGTCTCGTTTCCCTGTTCTGTCCCAGCAGGATTCCCCACTGCAAGGCAGTGGACAGCAAAATAGCCAAGCAGGTCAAAGAAACTTCACCAGCAGTATTGAGCCCAGGCTGCTGTATGAGAGAGTGGAGAAACTGGTGCCCAGGCCTGGTAGTGGCAGTTCCTGGGGGCCCAGCAACTCAAGATCCCAGCCTGGGTCCCACCCTGGGTCTCAGAGCGATTCTGGGGAGCTCTTCAGAGTTAGATTGTCATCCAAATCCAATGACTATCCATCTCAGTGCCTCAAAAATGCAGTGAAAAAACCTGAAGATAAGAAAGAAGTTTTTAGAACTCTCAAGCCTGCTGATTTGACTGTACTGGCCAAAGCGCTTCAAGAAGTGGAAGATGTGAGACCCCCACACAAAATGGCAGACTATTTCTTATCCAGTGAGGAGTCAGGGATGACAGATGAGGAAGGCAATGATGTAGAACAAGAAGGGGTGAGGAACCCGCCTCTGGACCAGAGGACACCAGAGTAGCATCATCTCTGAATCTGAGCAATGGTGAAACAGAATCCATGAAAACCATGATTGTCCATGATGATGTAGAAGGTGAACCAGCCGTGACGCCATCCAAGGAGGACACTCTAATTGTCCACCAGACTCAAGCTGCTGGTAGCACATTCTAGAAACACAACTCTTCCTCCTCCTTTACACCTTTTATAACCCCCAGATTAGTACAGATTTCTCCATCTAGTGGGACAACAGTGACTTCTGTGGTTGGATTTTCCTGTGATGGAATGACACCAGAAGCCATAAGGCAAGATCCTACCCAGAAGGGCTCTGTAGTCAGTATGAATCCCAACACTAGGCAACAAAATGACACCCCAGAGATTCATAAATGTAAGAAGAGAATTAACTCCAAGATTCTGTGTGTTGCCTTATAAGGAGTGAATTTGCCAGTGGGTACAGAGTGGCCTGATGCTCCTGGACAGAAGTGGCCAAGGGAAGGTATATTCTCTGATCAACCAAAGGCGACTTCAGCAAATGGATGTCCTTGTAGGCTTGAACGTCTTCATGACAATATCCGGCAGAAAGGAAAAGTTACATGGCTACCATTTGTCCTGGTTAAGAAATAAAATATTTCACAATGATTCAGAAGTTGAGAAGAAGCAGGGATGGACAGCTATATAGGATTTGGAAGGATGCGTACAGTATAAAGTTGTAAAATATGAAAGAATAAAATTTCTGGTAATTGCTTTGAAGAGTTCTGTGGAGGTCTATGTGTGGGCACCCAAACCATATCACAAATTTATGGCCTTTAAGTCATTTGGAGAATTGGTACATAAGCCATTACTAGCGGATCTCACTGTTGAGGAAGACCAGAGTTTGAAAGTGGTGTATGGATCCTGCGCTGGTTTCCATGCTGTTGATGTGGATTCAGGATCAGTTTATGACATTTATCTACCAACACACATGAGTCCACACTCTATGATCCAGTGCGTTATCCAGCCCCGTGCAATCATTATCCTCCCCAACACAGATGGCATGGAGTTTCTGGTGTTCTATGAAGATGAAGGGGTTTATGTGAATATTGTTGGAAGAATCACCAAGGATGTGGCTCTGTAGTGGAGAGATGCCAACATCTGTAACATATTTGATCCAATTAGATGATGGGCTGGGGAGAAAAGGGTGTAGATATCCGATCTGTGGGAACTGGTCACCTGGATGATGTGCTTATGCACAAAAGGGCTCAAAGATGAAAATTCTTATCTGACAACGACAAGGTCTTCTTTGCCTCTGTTCAGTCCGGTTGCACAGTCAGGTTTATTTCATGATGTTAGGCAGGACTTCTGAGCTGGTAGAAGCAGTGCGATAAGGATTGCTGGCCCCAAGTTTTCAAGATCCTGAGAACTTGGAATTCCTTGCAACTGAAGCTCAGAACTACACTGGTGTAGTCCAGGAGAGGTGTGTGTGCAGACACAATTTGTGGAGTTTTGTTTTGTTTTGTTTGCCACTTCCTTTCTGTACCTCTAACCAGCTTATCGGCTGTCTCTTCTCTTTTCTATTCAAAAATAAATCAAGGCTACCATGCATCTGGTGCTGTTCACATTCTAAAAAATAAAAATGAAAAAATAAACAGCTCAAGATAATCCTTGTGACAAAGAGGCATATTTTGAGATGGCAAATTGTTCCTTTTAACCCGAATGGTGGTGACATAACTATTGCCCTCACTGGTATAAGGATTTAGCAGACCAGGTTTATATTCAGACTTTGTCATTTGTCATGACATTCTATATTATTCACCTTGTGGAGCCTTATCTCCCTCATCTGTAAAGTGGGGATGATAATAGAACACATGCTATTGAGTTATTTTAGGATCCAAAGAGATAATATGTGTAAGATACCTACCACATGGTAGGAACTCAGTAAATAATAGTGTCTCCCTTACTGTCAGAGGTGAGATCGGTGGTGGGTAAGGAGTAAGATTAGTTAGCAATTACCTTATAACTGAGGGTGGTGATGGAGTACTCACTTCAAATTACTGATTCCGTGAACTGATCAAAATCATCCCCTTTGCCTATCTGCCTTTGGGTGAGTTTCTCAAAACAAACTAATTCTATCTTCAAATAATGTAAATCTATTAAGATGATGTTCTCCAATAATTTATTTACTAAAAGGTGTTACAGTGAAAGAAAAGAAATATTTAAAAAGCAGGGTATTTTGTGTTAGTAGGGATCAGTTTGTGCGTTCATTCAAGGGCTATTTACAAGTGCGCATTCTATGGAGAGCTGCATAGCCATACAGCACCTCTCTTCCTCCCTGACCCCTTGCCCAAAGGAGTAAGGGTTTAGGTGATCAATAGCAATAGCAACTGTTGACCTCCCAGTCTGCTTAACACTGGAGAATCTGCTTCTTGGATCTGAAGGAATAGAGCAATAACATATGCAGAACTCATCTTTGTGAAGCACATTTTTAGGAGAGAGAATTAAAATCACAAAAGAACCATTTTAGAGCAAATTACAGTCTTATACATCCTAAATCATATATTTAAGTGGAGAAGAACTTAAAGGAATGGAGCAATCAAAGGGAGAATGACTAATGAGGGCATTTGAGATGATCACATTGGACTGTACAGATTACAAAGCACTTTGTCTAAATGTTAATTTATCTTTACAAAAATGATACAAGGTACATACTATGAGTCTCACTTTAAACATTCAGAAGCTGGGGCTCAGGGAAGTTAAAATACTTGCTCTAAGACTCAAAGTTAGGAAGTATAAGCTAAGGTTTGAGCCCAAGTCTGTGCAACTTCAAATTCTGTCACCTGGAAGCTCTGGAATGTTGGACACAATGGTGAAAATAGGGAAATGGGAAAAATAGGAGGCTGTGTCAGGCATAATGCCTAGGGAACTACCTAAAGTATAGTGACTTGGGAAGAGGTAGTCTCTGGTGATGCCAGTACCAATCCAGTTGTCAAGGATGGCTGAGATGCAGTTGGGCCTGAAGCAAAAGTGGCTGCCTGCACCTTGACCTAAGATTTCCCATTTCAGACAGGGAGTGATAGCGGGTTTCTTCTATGAACCTATGGACTAGCTTTTGTTAAAGTAACCTTGAAAATTATTTTCTTAAACTTTGGTCACAGCCTGCAACCAAGAAGGGAAACCTGGTTTTCCTTTCTTCCATCACTTCATATTAAATCATCTCAGCTGTTAAGTTAAAGGAGAGACATTTAAGATTATATTTTACTGTCATCAGTTTTCCTGTCTGCCACAACTGTTCAAAACCCACCTTAGTTTATACTGCATTGATTTATGAAAGGACAAAATTCATTGGACATGTTTTTCATATCTATAGTTTCATTTATATAGTAAGTAGAAGTAGATTTTTTTGAGCCAAGAACAACCTTCCATTAAAGTAATTCAGTAGCATCGAGTTCTTTAGCAATGAACATCAAACCTTGGTAAAGATTTAAAGTAGAATAAGAAACATTAAGGGCCCAATTTAGGAATAACATTTTGAGGTTTTACATAATGATACAGAGGTACTTTTCTTCATAATATTAGAAGGTATTTTTTCCATGTAAATACATCTAGCAGAGTTTTCTTTGATCATTTTCTTTCCTTTTGAAAATTAACTGATACGATTTGAAAAATGAAAGTTCTGTTTATATTAACTGCACCTAACCAAAGGCCAGCAGTGTTTTATGGCTACAAACCCTCCATTATGCCTCCTATCCTGAGCCTGAATTCACTATTTACATGTACAGACTAGTTAGGTATGAAATATTCCTTAATGCTTTTTTTTTTAATCAATGTATGTGCTTATGTGTAACTTTTACATTCTGATTATAAGTCAGAAATTTGCCATCTATACTGATGTAGAGAGAAGTGTGAAATATACATTCATGGAAGAATTTGGAAAACTATTATATTCTTGATATCCAAGCCAGTGGACTTAAACCAAATCATAATCACCTCATGACGTTTTGTTGTCAAAGTCAGTGTCTTGTCCAGTATAACTCACTGCATCCTTTGATATAGCACTGTCCAATAGAACTTTTTGTCATAACAGAAATGCTGTTTAATATGCTGTAATACCATAGCCATTACTCACATGTGCCTACTGCACACTGGAAATGTGGCTGCTGTGACTGAAGGCATAAATTTTAAATTTTCTTTAATTTTGATTTTAATTGAGCCACATGTGGTAAATGGCTGCCATATTGGACAGTGCAGCAATATATTCATTCACATGCTGTTTGTCTCACATATAAAGATATTTACTGTTGGGGAGCCTGAGTGGCTCAGTTTGTTGAGTATCCCACTCTTGATTTCAGCTCAGTTCACGATCCCAGGGTTGTGGAATTGAGCCCTAAGTTGAGCTCTGTGCTGAGCATGGAGCCTGCTTGGGATTCTGCTGTCTGTCTGTCTGTCTCTCTCTCTCTCTCTCCCCCCTGACTCTCTCCTCTGACCCTCTTCCCTGCTCACGTGATCACTCTCTCAAAATTAAAAAAGATACTATTTAGAAGCCAATATAGTGGCCTTTAATTGCTTTTAAGGAACAGATGGAAGCCTCAGTTTGTTCTTGAAAGTAATTGCTTCAAGCCAAGCAGATCTGGGGTGGGGAATGTGCAAATATTTCAACTGAGTTCGCTACTCAGATTGTTTATTTCTTTATTCACTCAGAAAATATTCATGAAGCACCTAGTAAGTGCTCTGCATTGTGCTAGGTGCTAAGAATGCAAGAGGTTCAATGTATGTGCACTGCCTTCTAGAAATTGCCAAGTAGAAAAAGTGGACAGAAAGTTAGTAACAAACTTTCATACAGAAGACAGAGAATGAGTCAAAGATGACTGGAGGTTTTAGTCTTGAGTGACTGCTAGAGGGTGGCTATTGTCACCAATAGAGGAGACACTGGAGGAGAAGAAGGAGGATGAGGAAGAGGAAGAGTAGTCTAATTGGACCACCTGGGGTTAAGGTGTCTAATGTTAGACATCC